TTATTTTTTTAAAAAAAGATCTTATTTATTTTTAAAGAGAAGAGAAGGGAGGGAGAAAGGGAGAGAAACGTCGATGTGTGAGAGGAGCATCAATTGGTTGCCTCTCACAAGTCCCCAACCAGGGGGGACCTGGCCTGCAACCCAGGCATGTTCCCTGACTGGGAATCGAACCAGCAACCTTTCGATTTGAAGGCTGGCGCTCAATCTACTGAGCCACACCAGCCGGGGCTAACCTGTTCATTCTTTATGGTAGATTAATTTTAAGCCTTTTATCTCTAACTGTAGATAATAATGCAGTTGTCTCTCAGTATCCATGGGGGATTGGTTCCCAAACACCCCTTACATACCAAAATCCAAAGAGGCTCAGATGACTTACACAGAATAGTGTACTATTTGCAAACAATTTATGCAAATACTCCTTTATGCTTTTGATCATCTCTAGATTACTCGTAAAACCTAATGCAGTGCTATGTAAATACTTGTTTATACTATATTATTTATGGAATAATAACAAGAAAAAGAGTCTGTACATATTCAGTACAGATGTAACCATTGTAGGCCTAACTACGTTGTACACATCAGCAACAATGTAATATTTTTAAAAAAATATTTTCTATTCACAGGTGGTTGAATTTGTGGATGCAGAACTCACAGATACAGAGGGCCAACTGTATATAGCCAGGAATACAAGACTGTACAACTCAATTAAAAAGACTAATAACCCAATTTTTTAAAAAAGGAGAGGTTATAAGCAAGAGAATACCTGAAGCAAATAAATGTATGGAAAGATGCTCAACTTTACTATTAAACAGGAAAATGCACATAAGAGCAGCAATGACATAATACTTTATAGCCATCAGATTGGCAAAAATTTTAGTCTGAGTTTTCCAAGTTAGGGAGGGTGTGGAATAATAAGACTCTCTTTACTGTGGGGGAATGTATTTAGTACAATCTCTTTGGAGAACCATATACAACCTAGCGAAGTTGAGCAATGAATTCTACTCCTCAGCATATGTCGTAGACATAGATATGTCCAAGAAAATTTATTGTGGAATAAATAAGTTAAACTGCTATCTGATATTATTGTGTGTCTAGCTTATGTCTTCAAAATCAGTGTGTTGATTCAAAATCAGTTGAATATTTGATTCTTCTAGAGGCAGTTAGGACTTTACCCTATAGTCTGCACTGTTTGTTCTTTTTTAGTGCAGTTGGGAGCAGTAGTGACCTGACTAAATCCTAAGAGAGTCTTCTGGACATCATCTTATTCTGTGGAGACCATGACACTCTACTTCTGAACATATCCTCCTCCATCTTAAGTTTTAGAAAATAATTTAAAATAGGATAAAACTGAGCTGTTGTGAATGATTTTTCTTCCCTTTAGGGCAGTTACACAGGGTTCTCATTTGTTCTCATATGTTTATTTTACATTTAATTATTTTTGCCCACTGCTTTTTTCAGAGGATGAAGTTAGCAACTTCAGCCACTGGGTGGCGCAAATTCATGAGTCTAGTGAAAGTTCATTAATTACAGCCCAACATGCACCTGTTGCTACACTGTACCAAGTGAAGGTGGGTTAGGTAGAGAAGAAAAGAGGCTTTTGGTGCCTGAAATTTAAGTATAGACGTGGATCTAAATTTTCTGGCAATGAAAATAAAGGGTAATTTTTAGTATCAGGTGACTGGCAAGTCAGGTCACTGAAAAAGGGAAAGAAAAAGAAGGAAAGGAAAAACAAAAGTGTTGGAATATGGAGCAAGAAGAAAAATATGAGAGAAAAGCATACACGTCTAGAGAGATGAATTCAAATGTTACCAATGGTCACAGGATGGCCCTTCATTGGTTTGCATCCACCTGGCTAACCAATAGCAGCTTTGATGTAAAAATAAAAGTTACTTCATTTTTTTTCCTAGGAAGTCAGTTATATTTAGCTATATTTACCCTCAGCTATATTTAGTAGTGAGATGTTACCAACACATTTTTTTGAATATCTACTGTGAACAAAGTAATGTAGAGATATACAAATGTAGATGTAGAGAACATACTAGACCCTCAAGCATAAGAACTATTCTGAAGTATACGTAAAAAGATAAATGGCAGCTCAAGGAAGACGAGGGCCATTGTATGAACTTGAAAATGGAATCCTTTCTGAGAGTGGGAGAGCAGGAGTGGGGGCAGGAGTGGAGAATCAAAGTGTGAGGGGAGGAGGGGCCATAAGACTGTCAACCTGCCCAGGGCAAAAAAAAAGGGGCGGGGGGAGTTCTTAGCCCCTAGTCATAAGTACATATAGCAGGTCTTTCTTGGAAAATGACTAGTTCTGGACATACACATAGGAAAAGCGTTCTAGGTCAGAATCTGCTGGAGAGTGCTTAAAGAGGGTCCAAAACAAGAAGAAGAGAGGGGAAGAACAATTAGGGCTAGAGTCGCCTTTAAGTCCTCTGTGATTAGTAGCCTCTTGCACTAGCCCTGGGTGTGCAGAAAGGAGAGATTCTAATAGCCTGCTCAGACCTTTCAGAGGTCCAGAGAGTCCCAGGTCATGTTGATTTTTTTGAGAACACAAGTATATCTAAAAAGTGAAGAAATGATAAAACATATAAAATTGTATATTTTAAGCATTTATATTGAACACATCATGCTTTAACACAAGTTCACGTATGACCATTAATGTCATTCAGCAGTACCTTCAAAAGCTTAAATTGGAATTTTCTGCAAGTGTGGGTTCTCTGCCCTAAGCAACTTCCTACCTTAATCTTTGGACCCATCAAAAACTATCAAGGTGATTTAGACCCTTAGAAAAGGTAGAATGACTTTCGGTCCTCTCTATTCTGAGACTTGAAAAAACACAAGGTAATACTTGTGCTAACTGGGCATATAGTACTAATATGTTAGCCAAAAAAGGGGGACAGCTTTAAAATGGTATGAAGAATATGATGTTATTTGTGTAACATGTCTTTTTATGTATAAGGGTATGTATTTGTAAGTCAGAGGTGCATCAAAGTGTTAACAGTGGTTACCTCTGGAAGGGAGGATTGGGTATACTATTTCTTTTATTCTTTGTATTATCAGTATTTTCTAAAAATTGTTATAGTGAGAGTGTACGTTAATAATTGAAAAACAAAGGGTGGTAACTTAATGAGAAAGAATTTGCAATAAAAACCCTGCTAACTAGTCATTTCCCAGAGGAATAGTTGATGCTCTGTAGAAACAGCGCTTTATCAAGATGAGACTATAGCTTACTCTACAGTGGTGATGGAGAATTGTGTCCTGCCATGAAGTTATCTGCAGACTGAGGTGCCCATCCCAAAGTCCACATGGAAGTTTTCCCTTCCCATCTGCTCTATGTCCAATTCATCTCTTAGTTTTCAGAGATCTCCACTGTTAAGAGAATGTGGGGTTCAAAATGATTAACTGATTAGGGAGTCAGAAAACCCTCAGAGGGTGCTTGCTTTGTCAGGGGAAACAAGTTGTCCCCAAAACAAAATAAATAATTTTGATCCCATTAGTGAATTTCTGTATAGAAAGCCACAATAAATGTTACACAAATTATATTCTTGCCGAAGACTTAATGAACGTTAACTTTGCCCCAGGTTTCATCTCCTGAGAGATCTCATGTTTCTAGATTAAAGGACATTCTGTGGTGGATGAAGCTGGGAAAGGTGGGGATGAATGTAGACATCAGTCCTAGATCAAGACCTTCTAAATATAGAATACTCTTAATCATTCTCCCTCATGGTCTTGGGAACCATGGAACATGCCTTTCTTTTCTCTCTCTCTCTTCCCTATTTCATGGTAAAACTGAACCACAGATGGCAGAATAAACTGGAAGTGATGTGAACCAGTGGAAGGGTGCAAATGATATACTGTTTTATCCAAATGCAAACCCCAGGGCTCTGTCGACTTCACCTACTGTATTTTCAAGGTACTTTGGAACTTTAGGATGCCTAGAGGATTTCTAGGGCTTCCTTGAAATCTACCATCATCCACGCTTTGTATCCATTCCATCTCTTGCAGGCTTTGCTTGAATGTTAATTCAGTGCTTATGGCAAGATACATTACCCTGTTGGTATAGTTTTGAGAATCACTTTTTTTTTCTTTTTGGAAATACTTGAAGCAAATAAAAGGAGGCTACAAGTTGTATATGGTTTTTATCAGAGAACTAAGAAAACATAATTACTTAGAAAGAAGCACATTTCACTAAAACAAAATGGAATAGTTTCAGCCCCTTATGAAAAGAGGCAGGACAACAATTTTCTCCCACCATTCTCTCTCTCTCTCTCTCTTTTTTTTTTTTTTAACCTAAATCCTGCTTTAACATCTGCTCTACTTGATTGTTTTTGTTTGTTTTATTGGGTTTTTTTTTAACCAAACTCTTACTTAAGCAGGTCAGACTTCACTTACAGCTTTGTCTCCGTGAGAAAGTTCATCATAATCATTTCACTCTGGCAAAGTGCATGCAGCTCACTGTTATGGTCGGGTACAATGTCACACCCACTTTAGGAACTCTGGGTCATCAGGAGACCTCCTCTGGGTCCTATTAGTATGCAGTCTCTAAGCCCTTTGGGGATTTCCGAGGAGGACATTTGGAATGCTTAAATTCATATTCCCTTCACCAGTGTGTTGCTAGTTTCTTGTGATTTAGCAGAGGCTATATCATAAAATCTTATGACTGGCAGCCTTGAGAAAACCAGAACACCACCCTAAGCCAGCTGAGAGCCAGTGAGCGTGAAGTCAGCAGGGAAGGTAACAGAGGAGCTGGTGAACTGGGCCACACTTCTGGCTACTTTGCCCCATTCCTTGGAGGCTGTGTTTAAAACTTTTGTCAAAGAGAGCAGTAAGCCTATTCACAAAGCTTAGAGGGGAGACTTTCTGTTTTCATTTGATGGGATGAGAAGATACACATTTTTTTTGTGGAAGTACAGAGTAAACTTCAGAAGCTTGTGACTCAGTCAGTAGCAGTGGCATGGAGGTAATGGATTGCAAAGCCCAGGCTCACCCTTCACTGGTCTGGCATTACTTTTTTATTGCAATGTTCCTGCTGAAGATACGCGTATAGAATTGGCAAGAATCTGCCTATCTTGATTAATAATAGGGAGAATGCAGTGTGTGAGGCAGAGCAGAACTTTTCAGAAGTATGTCTGCTGGATAACAGTGATCCCTGCAGCTTTCTTTGAGCTTGAATTGGGAGCATTTTGTCCAACCTAGAGATTGAAAGGAAAAAGGAAAGATAAAGAAGGATGCAAATGGGTATTTCTTTATGTACTAACATATGGATAGCTAAGTACAAAATCCTACATAATTCCAAGTACACATCATTTTGCCTCTTTGTTACCCAATGATTCTAGGGAAAGTTACTGTGCTTACACTGAGAAAATATCATCAAGGTGTTTATAGTGTGAAACCTAAATTTGTTGGACCTACCAGCAAAGAGGCCATCTACCCCTTGCTTGACCTATTTGCCTTGAATGGAAAAGGCCCCGGGTCTGCAGCTACTTTGGTTCTCAGATGCACAAGGATTCTACTTCATTCCTTAAGTCAGAACCAAACGATCTTGCTCAGCTGGAAAAGCAGCAGAGATCTGGGTCTCAGTGGACCAAATATTTTTTACCAATTCCATTCCACTCTCATTGCACCTGACTCCATGCCCTATCTGATTTTATGTGTACTTTCTAAACGCTAACCTGTTATGAATATAGACTGTGGAAGGCAGGGAACTTGGCACATAGAAGTAACATTGGCACTTTCAGTAACATTTCATGGATGAATAAGCCAATAAATACAGTAAAGGAATTAAAAGAACCAGGACTTTAGTTCTGTTTCTGCCAGCCTTGTGACGTTGGGAAAGTCACATAGCCTCTCTGAGTCTTAAAGTATCAATAAAATGTAGATACCTGCCCTAGCTACCTCACAGGATTTTTATGAGGCTCAAACAAGGTAATGTGTGTAAAATTGCTTATAGTTACTATTTCTATTAATTTATTGGTTACCAGCAGCTTATTTGTTCACGGGAAAAATTCAGAGTTGCTGCTTCATGGTTACCTCTAATTCTGAACTAAACTTTATGGTCCCCTTCAGGCCTACTTCTTCCAATGTCCCAATAGAAATGATAATGTAGATTGGAGTAGAGAACTAAAAATACACCATATGATGAAATCATACTAATTTACATGAGCATATCATCCATATTAGAAGAAATGGGATTATGGAAAATATTGACATAAACCAGAGACGACAAATAAGTCGGCATTGGGTACCTGAAGCACTGTGATAAGAAAGATTCTGATGTCATTCCTGGGTGGAAAGAGTGCTGTGCTTGATTTTTTAAAAATTGAGATATAATTGACATATAACAGTGTTTAAGTTCAAGGCATACAATGTATTGATTTCTTATATTTATATATTGTAATATTATTGTAGCTTTAGCTAACACCTCTATCATGGCACATAATTATCATTCCTTTTTTGCAGTGAGAACATTTCAGATTTGTATATAGTATTATTGACTGTACCCACTAAGTCACGCATTAGATCTCCAGAGCTTCTCTTCTAGTTGCACTATCCTTGATTGTTGTGTACAGCCGACACCTTCTTATGGATACCTTCTTTAATTTAAAAAGTATTGGAGACCTTGTCTCTTTACCTAAGTGGATTTTATTGGTGCTGTATAGAAGGCACCCATCAGTTTCTCGTATTTAAAAGCTAAGTCCACTCCTCATGAGGAAACTAGATTTAAAACAGCTGTCATGACCCAGTGGGGTAGTGTCTGTTTTAGACACCAAAGGGCATTATGAATTTGTAATTCTATCAGGAAACCCAAGGGTAGGGAGGGAAGATGCTGTTTTGCCAAGTATCAAACTGTGTTCAGGTGTGGTGGTTCCTAAATTTTGGTGTATGTAAGAGTTACTTAGGGGCAGGGATGGACATATAAGTGTGGCCTCTGAAGCTCTTACAGTTTCAGAGGAGTTTTTTTTTTTTTTTAAGAAAAAAGAATACAAATTTAAAAATACAAAACTGGATATAAGGTCCCATGGTCCTGAGGCTTAAGCTTCATTAATTTTACAGTAAATTCACCTCTACTTAGCGAGTGTGTTAAAAATCTTAAAAATAAGGTTCCTGGCTCCAGACATTCTGATTCATTATATCTGAGGCCTGGAAATCTGTATTTTCAGTAAGTACCTCCTGTGTTTTGGCTGGGCTGATATTAAGAAAACAACAGTACAAATAAATACCTACCTATTTTCTGACACATAAAAGAATTACTCACATTTGCTTTATAACTCAATCAACTCCCTGTCTCACAGCACTTATATGTCAGCCCCATTTTCTCCAAACAAATGACACAAACCACACAGAGAACACCTTCCTCCTCTGGCTGAGAGGCAGGCTGGGATTTAGCTGCCTCGGGTTGTTGGCCTCCCTTCCTTTGCTTTCTCCACAACCGCGGGCATTGGCATAGCTCTCTGGCTCTCAGGCATTGACTCTGAAGGGAGAAAATAACAGGTATTAACTTCAGGGGGCTGGTATGTATTTGATTATCTTCCAAACTGCATGTCAAGCCATTTAAAGAAAATAATTCTTCTAAAGAAAATATTCTGTCCTATTGACGCTATTCTCCCTAGAGAATGTACAAGTACAGCAGAGGAACTTGCATTTAGCAAGGACCTCCCATGTACTAAGTGCCTGTCACACAGGATCTCAATTAACCTTCATAACCACCATAAGAGACAACTATCATTAGTCCCATTTTAAAGATGAGGCAAATGAGGTTGGACAAGTCAAGCAACTTTCTTGAAGCCACTCAGCTAGTGAGTGTGAGTTGCAGGTCTGTCCAAACTCCAAAGTCTATGCTTTTGTTGTTATGCCAACCCTCCTCTGGAAAAGGAGATTTGTATAGATCAAGCCCAAAGACCCCATACATCAGCAAACTTACAGGACATGGGACTTCAAAAATGACAAACACTGTAATGATGATTGCATTGAGCAACAGAGTGGCAGCAATCAGAAATTTGACCACAATACTCCATTTCTGCCTCTTCTCCAGGTCCTCATCTGTGTCTAAAAGGAGAGAGAGCAGTAGGTGAGGAAGAAAGAGAATTTGAGAGAGGGTAGAAATTGACCCTCTGCTTTGAAGGGGTCCAGCTTGACTCAGAGGCTGAATTTCCAGTTCAGACTCAGAGTAAGAAGTGGGGTGGGCCCCATGGGCTCTGCTCTAATCCCCTTTGCAGCCTCTTCCCAATGAGTCACCTTCCCTGCGATTTGGGATTTTCCATGATCAAGTAAGACCAATTCTTACACAGCTCTTGAGGGAGGAAAAGGGGTGGGGGTGCACAACAAGTTCTAAACTCATCTTACACCAGTGGCCCTCTCAGAGTCTCTACCTAGAAAATTGCCCTTCTATGCTCTTTGCAGCTTTAGTGGACAATAGGAGGAACAAAGGTGAATTGGCATTGCTTCTGGGTCATAAGCCAAATTTTGGGGCAAATGGCTTATATGCATCTTGTTATTACTAATCTCATATCTGTTTTTCTCCTGGTAGGAACTGGATGCAAGCCAAACTGGAATCTTACAGAATTAGAGCCCTGGCCAATTTAGGGAAGGCTATTTCTAAAAGTAGTGCAGATAAAACATGTACTTGGTTGTTGTCATCACTAACGATCAGTGTATAAATGTTGTTTATACATGTGATGGCTGGAATTACCTACCACATGAATACATTTTATTCTGTCCACAAATTTGACTATAAGATGAGCTTACTTGTGTGGAGGTAAAGCATTATTAATACAGTTATGTGTCTGTTAACCACGGGGATACATTGAGAAATCCATCATTAGGCAGTTCCATCATTGTGCAAAAATGATAGAGTGCACTTACACTAACCTAAATGTTGTAGCCTACTACACATTACACTAACCTAGATGCTGTAGCCTGCTGTACACCTAGGCTATATGGTATAGCGTATTGCTCTTAGGCTGCCAACCTGTACAGCATGTTACTGTACTGAATACTGTAAGCAGGTATAATGCATTGGTATTTGTGTATCTAAACATATCTAGACCCTGGCTGGGTAACTCAGTTGGTTAGATCATTGTCCTGATACACCAAGGTTGGGGGTTTGATCCCCAGGCAGGGCGCATACGAGAAACAACCAATAAATACATAAATAAGTAGAACAACAATTCGATGTTTCTCTCCCTCCTTCTCCCTCGCCCTCCCTCCCTCCTTCATCCCTCTAAAATCAATAAATAAAAATTAAACACATATAAACATAAAAAAGGTATAGAACAATACAATGTAAAGGATAAAAAATAGTACACCTGAAATAAAATAGTACACCTGTATAGGGCACTTACCATGAATGGAGCTTGCACGACTGGAAGTTGCTCTAGGTGGGTCATTGACTGAGTAGTGAGTGAATGTAAAGGCCTAGGACATTACTGTACACTACTTTAGACTTTGTAAACACTGTATACTTAGTCTCCACAAAATTTATAAAGCAATATGAGATTAAATCAAGCACAAGAGAAAAGGATACAATCAAAAGACACAGTAAACACGGGATGTGTGAGGAAGCTGCTGGCTTAGCATAGCATACTATTTTAGAGTAAAAATGTTTACTATTTTACATTTATAAACTTTTTTATAAGTAGAAAGAGTACACTCTAAAATAACAATAGGAAGTATAGTAAATACATAAAGCAGTGACAGCCATTTACTGTCATTATCAGGTGTTATGTACTGTACATAATTTTGCTACACTTTTATACAACTGGCAGTGCAATAGGTTTGTTTATACCAGCAACACCACAAACATGAGTAATACATTGCGCTGTGACGTTACAATATGATGGCAGGAATTTTTCAGCTCCATTATAGTACTATGGAACCATTGTTATTGATACAGTAGGTCCATCATTGACCAAAATGTCCTTCTGCAGCACATGACTATAGCGTCAAACTACGAATATTTCTGGGACCTTCTTTAAGGAGAAACTGATTTCTTTCCATAAGAAATTGAGTGATTTTTCTAATGTAAACTCTGTGTATTTTCTCAACTTCCAGGAAAATCCTAGGAGACCCAGACTAATGTTGAGGCTAAAAATATTTTTCTTTCTGTTCTTGCTTCACCCCTACTTATACTTTACCTTGTTTCAAAGAGCTAGAAAAATCATCAATACTTGTAGTTTTCTCTCCTTTATTCCCTGGAGTTACGGAGGTGGTGGTGGTGGGAAAAGTCCCTGATGAAGCCCTCATCACTGGATAGACCTTACATTGGGAGATCCCTGGTAAAAAAGCTATAAGACAAAAAAGAAATGATGAAAAGACAGCTGAGAAAACATTATTCTGCCTTTGATATTACCCGACCAAAAACCCTGGCTCTACCCAGGTGATATTAAGCTTCTTATTGTGCCCCCATCGATCTGTCCATAGGTTTAGGGCGTGAGCATCAAATAATGCCAAGAGTAAATGAGAACAGAGATACTAATAAGAGATATGGATTAAAATTCCCATGAGGCATTTGATAAATGTAGAATCAGAATGGAGGAGTAGGCCATACCTTGTTTGCCTATCCTTCTTAAGGCCATAATAATAATAATAATAAGTATGGAGGGTGTAGTGCTGTTCAAAGTTTCTGTCTTCAAAAAAGGTGACTCCAAAGTCCAAATAATAATTTGCCTTAATGACTGCTGCAAGTCTGTCTGGTGGAGTCTGTGTCAACTGCTTTGAGAAGGGATTGGGGAGAGCAGGGTGAACTGGGAGAAGGAAAGACCACTAAGCTTCATGCACTCCTTAATTTTATTCATTCAGCAAATAATTAAAAATGAATACCCATTATGAACCAGGGACTGCTCCAGTACTTTGGATGTATCAGTTGGATACGTTCTAGCAAGAGAACAAGTAAAGAGGAGGGAGGTTTGAGGTGCAGCAGGGGGAAGCAGACAGCAATAAGTACAGTCAATTTTATGGTATGTTAGAAGGTGATAACTGCTATCAAAAAATAAAATGAAAGTAAAGGAAGGTAAGGGAGCAGTCTGGGGAGTGCGGGTGGGCAGTGTTTTGGCAACATGCGATATAGGCTGGTTTTATTGAGAAGGTGAAAACTGAGGCAAGACTTGAAGGAGGTGAGGGGAATCGCCAAGCAGATGCCTGGGAAAGTGTAAGTCCTCACTAATGTTGTTAATAGGTTCTTGGAAACTGTGACTTTAAGGCAAAATGACATATAATAAAACCAATTTTACCATAGACTACTTGATATAAACAAGAGTTAAGTTCCTACAGCGTATTTCTGGTCACAAAAATAGCACCAAACTTCTAAAGACTCCAAACATTTCTAATATTAAACATTGAAATAAATATAAGCTATACACACGTTTAATAAAGATTAATAAAAACAAGAAAGATCATTCTTTTCTAACCTGCTTATTCCAGTACAGGGGTGAGGGAGGCCAGAGTCTATCCCAGCAACTCAGGGTACAAGATGGGGACCAACCCTGGACAGGAGGGCCTTCCATTGCAGGGCACACTCATTCACACACAGCCCCATACTCATTCAGACTAGAGCAGTGTAGACACACCAGTTCACCTAATGTGCACATCTTTGGGATGTGAGAGGAAATGAGAGTATGGAGGAAAACCCATGCAGACTTGGGAAGAACATGCAAACTGCACACAGTGGCCCCAGTGGATATCAATTTTTTTCCCCATCAATGTTATAATGAAATGATATTGAACAAAATAACATTATTTAAGGACCTGCTGTAGTGACCTAGGCAGAATGACAGCTAATGTAAAGGCCCCAAGGCAGAGAATGTCTGGCATGTTACAGCTTTAGAGGAAGAGCAAGAAGGCCAGTGAGACTGGCAAGGTATGTGCAAGGGGACAGGAGTAGGAGGTGAGGATCTAAGGGAAATGGGTCCATATCACTGAGGGCCTTGTAAGCTAGTTTAAAGACTTTGGTTTTTATTGTGATTGAAATGGGGGTCCATTACAAGGTTTTGAGGAGAGGAGTGACAGGATGAATCTCTTTGTTGTTAAAGGGTCGCTGAAATAGACAGTAGGGGGACAAGGGTAGTAGCAAAGTCACCTGTTCGGGGGCTGTTCCTGAAATCCAAGTGAGAGATGATGGTGACTCAGACCAGCTGTGGAAGTGAAGAGATGCAGACAGATTCTGGTTGTAGCCTGGAACTAACATCACTTGATCCTGGAGGCTCCTGTTTCAAAATCTACTTTAATAGGCCCTATCTGTCAGTGTATTCATTTCTGCGTAGTTTCTAAATTAATGTCCATCCACGTTGGCATTTCATTTCCTTTAGATATTATCTGCTAGGTAACTGAGTGTTAAGGTGGAGCACATTTGTAAATACAGTTCTTCACTCCCAGTGATGGTGGAATTGCAATATTAGCTTTTCTTTGACTAAGGATATTTGAGCAAGAATGTCCCACTTTGAGAAGATATACAAAAATCCCAATTTATGAAATGGATGACTTAGGAGATGATACTTTGCTTTATTGCATAGTAATTTACTTTAAATATGGTGCATTTAAGTGGAATCCTGTTTTAGAGATCATTCTGTATTAGAAGGTTAAAAGAAGTATTTGAGAAGCCTTATATACTGCTACTGGGTTTATGCTTCAGATCTAAACTTTCGCTGTACATATGTAGAAATTAGACCATCGAGTCAAATCCCTCATTTGTTGCTATAGAAACAGCACTGGAGAAATTAACTTGTTAAAGGTGATCATAAATATCAGATTAAACATTTGTTTAATATTTCTCCTATTCCCACAGTTTCACATGGGGTAAAGAGACCATAGGAAGACCTATGAGCCCTCTTTCACCAGAAGGAAATATCACAACATTTATGAGAGAGGATCTTTTCCTTGGCCAAATTCTATAAACAGTAACAAATAGTCTCCATCTTACATTTTTCTACATTATGTGTCGACGCATATCTTATGACCAACTGTGTTGCAGTACACTCTCCTGCCTACAATTTCAAATTCCTGTGTTGCTCTGGGAACATTTCCGTGAACTATCTTCTGTTTCCAGGACAGTCCACTGTGTAGACTGATGTCACCTACAGTGGGCATCTTTTCAGGACCTTATAAATTTGACCATTTACCTAATATTTATTTCTACCCTATGTGGAGTCTATCACCTCTTGGTACTCAGTGTAAATTTAAATCCAGAATAGGCAGTTTCAGATTTATAAATGAGACTATATTTCGAAATTCCATTCATAAATTGGTTGTGTGCAATTTATCGCTGTCCCATAAAAATGTATCCTGAGTGATAATTAGGTCCCCAAACTAAGTTACAAACGTCCATTTAATCTCTTTGCATATCTCAAATGCAGAGGTGTCCAACCCGAGGCCCATGGGCTGTATGTAGCCCAGGATGGCTATGAGTGCAGCCCAACACAAAATCGTAAATTTACTTAAAACCCTTCTGTTGCTCATCAGTTTCCATTCGTGTTTGTGTATTTAATGTATGGACCAAGCCAACTCTTCTTCCAGTGTGGCCCAGAGATGCCAAAAGGTTGGACACTCCTGCTCAGGGTAGTAGCTTAAACCAGTGATTTTAAACCTTTTTCATCTCATGGTACACATAAACTATTACTAAAATCTGTGGCACACCAGTAAATATATTTTTTGCCAATCTGACAAAAAAATAGGTATAACCGTGATTCATTTACAGCAGACCACTATTGTTATGTTGACCGTTGTCATTTTTTTGTATTCAACAATCTGAGGGAAAAGATGTCAGTGCCCCTGAATAAATAATCAAGTATTACATGGTTTAAAAATTCTGTGACACACTGGTTGAAAATTGCTGGATTAAACTCTTCCTCCTGCCCCGGGTTCTAGGCAAGCCCAAAACAAATTGTTGAATTAGATCACACTGATCTTTGGCACCTCTCCTCCTCCTTAATCTCCCAGCTTGCCTTGTCCCAAATCTCTAAGAGCTAGTGTCCTTAATTGCTGAGCCCAGCACTGCATAACACTATATCCAAGAAAGATCCACCTTGTACAAAGTGCTCTAGACTCCAAAATGACTTTAAGTTAACTGTTACCCATCACACCTGCCATTGACTCAAGGGGGGTGTCACATGTTAGGAGGAGAACAATCTGGTTCAATAAATTTACATTAACACTGAGTGACTGAAAGCCCTCAATACTGTCAGAGGCTTCTAAGTTTTTAAGAGTTTTTTATCCCACACAAAAACTAAATTAAAATTAAATTAAGTTCATTATGTGAACTTAAGAAAATATAATAAAGGAGTGAAAACGCCCATGTCATGTGAGGATATATAATTTACTATACCTGGGCCACATCCCAAGAACCTATCCACTTATTTCCCAGTCTCTAGTCTTTAAACAGATTGTAATTTTAAAAGTTTTCCCCCATTATTCTTCCTGTGAACCCCCAATTTCTCTAAAAGTGTCAAGTTTTACTTTTCTAGCAATGCAGCAGTCGCATCTAGGGAATTGCTTAAATGTAAAAGGAGCTAACAATACCAATTTATCGATCATAAACTGCTTGACAGAAAGAATGGGTAGGAGAAGGGCAGAAGTGGGGAAACTTAAGGCTGAGGTCAATAGCCGGAGCTCAGCAACTGCGGGGGAATAGGCATCCTCAATGTGGATGGGAGTGCAAAACTGAACAACCCTGGGGGGGAGGATAATTTAGCTATATCTACCAAACTTTTTGATGCAGCAGTCTTGCTTCTTGGAATTTATTCTATTGATAAATTGCAGGTACACACAGAATAATGTGTAAGGTCATTGCTTGCAGCATTGTTTGTATTTGCAAAAGACTGGAAACAACCAAAATATCCATCAATGGGGAACTGGTGATAGCACAGCCATAAAGTGTAATATTGCACAACTGTTATAAGGAATGAGAAAAATTTATACATATTGATATGGAAAAAAGGAAGGTATTGAATAGTGTGTATGGTATACTACCATTTATGCTTTTAAAGTATATACATCCATACATGCTTAGCGTGTCTCTGGAAGGAAATTCAATAAGTGGTTAATAATGTAGTTCCCTCAGGGATAGAGAAATGGAGGATTGAGAGAGTGGGAGTACAAGGGAGATTTACTTTTAACTGTAAGTCTGTGTTGTTTGAATACTATGTGCAAAGTAAATCAAATTCAAGCAACCATTGTCAAAGGACGATCCATCAGAAAATGGAGATCATATGAAAATTGCAGCATGTCAGGACTAGAAGGGCCCTTAGAGATTAGGAAATTGAGTCTCAGAGAGGACATAGATTTGCCCAAGGAGAGGATAATCCATTTCCTTCAGGTGTTAGCTGCTACTAAGCTCTTCCTGAATTCAGGGCTATGAAGTAAAAGTCATGCATACCTCCATCTCATTTTCCAGTCTCACCTTTGCCTGTTAGAAGGGACCCAGTCTGAAGCTTGGATGTGAGGGCTAGGTGACAGTTGGGGAAGGCTGTGCTGTTCCTGTGGGGAGCAGCAATGACTCTCAGGTTCTTTAGAGTATGCTTGACCTTTGGCCTTTTCTCTACATATACAAGGTTGAGTCTCACTTTGCTCCCAGAGCCAAGGCACAGCAAGGTAGCCACAGTCAGATTTTGGATGAAGGCAGACCTATTGGCTTCTGCCTGAGCTTCTGGAAAGAGAAAAACCAGAGAGAATAAAGGAAGCTTGTTCTTAATCTGAATGGCTAAACCACTTTATCGACTGGTTAAACTCCACTGCGGTACTTTTTTTCTCTCTTTAGTTAATTTATTTCTCACCATGTGCTTATGGTACTTAATGTACAAGCCCTGCCTTTCTTCCTTCCTTCCATGGGTCCCATGAAGATAGGTGACCACAGTAAATTCAGCCCAGAGAAATGCTTATAGGTCATCTCTAGTGCAGAAAGGGTTGAGTGCTGCCTCCTTCCATTTCTTCACTCCCTTTTATGATTTTGTAGTCATGCCTTAGGTAGTAACAGTTAATTCAAAAATTGGTTTCCAGAAAGCCTCTTCAGGGGATACATATCTTTAAAATAGGGTATTTGAGATCTAGGCTAGAAATGGGGGTGGCAGGCATCTTTTAAGAGTAAAATTATTCTGGAATGTCAAAGCAATTTTTCTTAGAAAGGGAGAGCCCAGTCCTTACCTGGCATTAGCATACGCCTGGTATTTCTCACACCCTTTGGGAAGAGCCCAGGAAGCTGTTCCACTTGGCAACTGCTATCTCTGAGTTCTGCAGGGGGGGGGGGGGGAAGGTCAGGATTTTCTGGCTATTTACTGCTTAGAATTCCAAGTGCTGGAAAGGGAGATACAAAAGAATGCAGTTCTTTCTCATAAAACTTGCAATTGGTAAGATAAAAATCCCCCCCCAAATATAATAAAGATTAAATTAAAAAAATAAAAAACAGCTTTAAAAAAATTCCCCCAAAGGACTTTAAAATATATACAAGGAGGAGTTAGACTAATATAAAGAAAACTGAGTACCAATCTATTATCTTAAAGTGGGGAAAAAAGAGAGATAAGTGATGTTAATGAAAGACTAACCAACCTTTTCCTTCAAACACTGATTATTATCTCTTCTCTTACCTGTTCCATCTGCCTTCTTCTTTTAAAACTTTTGAAACTTTATTAAATGTAACCTTGGACAAGGTATCTTTCCAGTTTTCCACAGAGCCATAGGTCATAGTTATCCATACTTTTTGGCACATAACTCACAGGGTGTTGTGAGTTTTCTTCATTTGCTAAATTTGTTATTGCTGCACATTATAGTGTTTAGCCTTAACTCTGGTGAGCTAATAATAGAGATGAAATGTTTAGGACACTTTCAAAAATCGTGTTTTAAATAAACAGTTGTCAAAGAGCAGAAAGTCGTTCCATTTCATCTCCATACCACCCTTTTCTTACCTTTCCCCTCCCAAGAGCATCCCCATGTATGTGGATGTAACACCTAAAGAGGAAGACAGCATCTTATGAAGGGTTATGAATATAGGGGCTTAGGTGATGATAATACTGAAACTGTGACAGTATCCTCCAGGGAAGAAAGCCATCTAATAGGTACAGGATCCTGAATTTTAGTTATATAAAAAAGACAGAAGAATTCATCACAGTCTCTGAAGATTTCTTAGCATGAAACAGACAGCTGTCTCTCTGGGATGAAAAAATTGCAGTCCTGTGAGGAGATACATGTGATGACTGGAAAGCATTGCCCACTGAGTATTGGCTATACCTCTATCTGCTGGAAGAGACTCCAAACATTTTCTAGGCCTCTCTTTGGGTTTTCCAGGATATTAAGCTAGAGAAGCACTTACCTTTCTTGTTGGCATCATAGGATGTAATGATTAGGCTGAAAACCAAGATGGTATCCATGTCAGCTTGAGCACGTGCTCCTTTCAGAGACAATCCCTTATAGCTTTGTCTCTAGGTGTTTTCTCTGCCCTGGAACCAAGTTTGACCGTGGAAGAGTCTGGTTCAACTCTAGTTCTTTTGCCCTATTTCCTGAAGACCCAAGAATAGACCTTACTGGATAGAGGACTAAGTCTGCTTGTTAACGATTGACTTGGAAGTTCTTCCCTGACCATTGCTGGTGCCAACATAAGAAACTGTAATTACCTACAGCTTTCCCTAGGAGAAAGGGCATAAACGCCCAGTGATATGCTTTATAAATACTTGCAGATAGACACGTAGACATTCACAAGAATGCTCACTCACACAGACACAAAGATTTACACACCAACATAAAGAGATAAAAGGATTTCTATTAAGGAAAGTGATTTTGAGATTAGAACAAGAAACTGGGACTGAATGAGTCAGTAAGTTACCATGGAGAAAGTACTGCACTAGGAATTAATGGAGCTGGGTTTAATACAGGCTGATACTAACTATGTCATCTTGAGAAAATTGCTTAACTCCTTCATATCTCAACTTTTCCCTATATAAATGTTGCGACCAAATGATCTCTAGAATTCATTCACAGTTGCACACGTAGACTTACATCAGCACAGACATAACTATCTAGTCCTGTATACTTTTAAACTTCTGAATAGTGAAGTAAGTATAGGTAGAAAACCTTCCCATGATTATCGGACCCAGTGGTTGTGAGGAAGAGCTAAGAACACTAGGTGAGAGATACTGCCTGCAGTTGGGGAGGTTTTCCTAGGCAGATAACTGTTGTTGAAGACTTTTCAAAAATCATATATTTTAGTAATACTATGTAGATTTTGTGATAGCAAGGCTAACTGGAACATAAAGCAGAAATAAAGATCTTCCAAAGTCCTCTGCCTAAGTCCAGAGCCTTTGTAGTCTTTCTATCCACTGCAAATGTATTCCATTGGAGCCAACATAGATTTGGTCTTGTGGAAGAAGTTTCTAGCGGCTGATACTCTGATTGATAATGATGAATAAGAAGCTTGAGTCAAGGGACATTCCATGAGGGAGCTCATGAGATCTGAATCAAATCATGATTTAAATGTTATCCTGTTGACTGACATTTTAATTGAGATTGAAATCTGGCTAAATTGAGCATCAAGGGAAATCTTAGTGGGAAAACAAAAAGGAAAGAGATATCACGGAAGGACAACATGTTGCCTGAAATGTGGAAGAAGGAGAGGAAGTGCTGAACATTTGACCACAGTGCCTTTCATTTACCAAGTATTTATTGCAGGCCTGCTGTGTACCAGGCACTATTCTAACAGTGAGCAAGACCACGTCTTTGTTCACATGAAAACATGGGAAGCAGACAACAAACCTGGTGCAAAATAAAATAGTGTAAAGGGCTAAAAATAAGTAATATACAAATATATATACAAGATAATTAAAGGTTGTGAAGCAACAAACAGAATGATGAGGTAAAGGATTCCTGGCAGGGGCCACTTTAAGTAGCGTGGTCAGGGAAGACATCTCTAAGGAGTCTGAGCTAGGAAAACCAAGAGAGTGGATGTCATAGAAGCCAAGAGAGGAGAGTATTTCAAGGAAGGAAGGAATGATCAGTTGGTCAAATGCTGAGAGGTGTGTATAATGAGAACAGACCTTCCACTGCATTTAACAGAGTGCAGAGTGGTTGAGAAGGGGTTGGAGGTGAAGACATGTACATAATCTTTTCAAGGCATGTTACTTGGAAGGGAGTAGAGAAGTGAGGCCAACTGAAAAGAAGGAACATACGTGCCTCAAGTCTTTATTGGTCCAGAGCAGCACTATTTCATTCCTTTTTTTCCCCTGCTACAGTTGCCTGATTTTCCTAGGAGAGGTGGGTAGGGTACATGGTTTTTGCTTACTATTTCCTTAACATGGTTACCTGATTCTCTGCTCCCTTATAGTGTCAGACACGTCCCCGCTCTCACTTTATTTCAAATTTTCTGTGGATTAGTTCCTAGTTACAATGCTGTCACCGTGGAGCAGAGGTAGGAATAGATTTGAGGGCTTGCTATTCTCATTCAGTGTCACAAGGTGGCAGAAGAGCTCGCTCTTCCCTACAGAGACCTTGTGCTTGGATAAAGAACAAGTGTGTGTCAGCTCTTAGACATTCCCTTTTCCTTTGTGTCTCAGAGGCCCAAAAGTCAGCCTGCATGTTGTAGCAGCTATATTGCGGGGTACAAGGAATCGGAAGAGCTACATTAACAAGTCAAAATAATTACCAGTAGAGATATAGACCCAGGCTGGTTCTCTGTTACTAGATACTTTGACTAATTATTCTAAGTGTTTGGGCTATCTGTGGTGGAGAGGTTATCTCTCCTGATCTCCTTTCCCTACAACAAAAATTTTCAAATTTAGGAGGAAAAAAGCTATAACATAGATGAGTTTTATGATGTGTACAGATGAGCGATGTGACACTGGAAGATGTTAGGAAACTAGGACTGATTAAATGAATCAGGGTGTGTCTGTAGGAGGAGCACTAGACAGAAAGCCAGGAGGCTTGCCTGCGTTCTATATTAGACTGATTTTGAGTGAGTCACTTAACTTCTCTGGCCTGTTTTGGTTTCTTTAATGAGATAGTTGGACAAGATGGTTGCAAAAGCCTCTTCCAGCTCTAAAATTATTATCTCAATGCTACACTCTGCTATTCTTTCTTTTAAGGATGTATGTTTTTTATCTGAGTTTATTTAAATTCTTTTATTTTGGAATATAGCCTACAGATAGGAGAGTATATAGAACATAGTATATATATTTTTAAAGATTTTAATTATTTATTTTTAGAGAGGGGAAGGGAGGGAGAAAGAAATATCAGTGTGTGGTTGCATCTCGCACACCCCCTCCTGGGGACCTGGCCTGCAACCCAGGCATGTGTCCTACACTGGGAATTGAACCAGCGACCCTTTGATTCACAGGATGGCGCTCAATCCACTGAGCCACACCAGCTAGGGCAATATATTTTATTTATTTTAAAAAATATTTTACTATTTTTTTAAGGAGGGAAGGGAGAAAGAAAGAGAGGGAGAGACACATCAATGTGTGGTTGCCTCTCGTGCACCCCCCACTGGGGACCTGGCCCGAAACCCAGGCATGTGCCCTGAATGGGAATCGAATTGGCAACTCTTTGATTCGCCGGCCATTGAGCCACATCAGCCAGGGCTAGGGCAATATATTTTAAAATAATGATAATAACAGCAATAACAACAATAATGTGGGCACATGTAACCATTACCAAAAGAAATTGAACATTGCCAATATCCTAGAGGCCCTTTGTATGTCTGTCCTTTTGATCTCACTCCTTTCTCTTCCCCCAGTCATTATTTTCCCATGATTTTTTAGAACAGTAAACTGTCTGTATATGTATCACTAAGTATATTAGATTTTGCCTGCTTTTGAATTTATATAAATGGATGGAACATATGCTAGTGTTTATTAATTAAATTTATTTTTAATTATAGTTTACATAGAATATTATATTATTTTTAGGTATATAACATAGTGATTAGACATTTATATACCTTATGAAGTGATTACCCAATAAGTCTAGTACCCATCAGACACCATATACAGTTATTACAGTATGATTGACTATGCTGTGCTTTACATCCCCATGACTGTTTTCATAGCTGGCAATATGTATTTCTTAATCCCTTCCACCTTGTTCACTCATCCCCCCAAGTCTCCCTCCCCTGTGGCGATCACCTATTTGTTCTCTGGATCTGTAAGTTTGTTTCTGTTTCATTTGTTCATTCATTTTCTTTGTTCATTATTATTTGTTTATATATTTTATAGATTCCACATAAAAGTGATTTATTTCACTTAGTGTAATATCCTCTAGGTCCATACATGTTGTCACAGATGGTAAGATTTTATTCTTTTTTATGGCTGAGTAATACTCTGGTGTGTGTGTGTGTGTGTGTGTGTGTGTGTGTGTGTGTATATATGTATATATATATACACACACACACACCACATCTTTACCTAATTGTCTGTAGATGGACACTCAGGTTGCTTCCAGCCTTGGCTACTGTAAATAATGCTTCAGTGAATGTAGGGTGCATATCTCTTTTTGAATTAGTGTTTCCAATGTCTTCATATAAATACAGTACCCAGAAGTGAATTGCTGATCATAAGGTAGTTCTATTTTTAATTTTTGATGAACCTTCATACTATTTTCCACAATTACTACACCAGCTTACAGTCCCACCAACAGTGCACCAGGGTTCCCTTTTCTCCACATCCTCACCAGCACTTGTTGTTTGCAGATTTATTAATGCCAGCCATTCTGACAGGTGTGAGGTGATAATCTCATTGTGGCTTTAATTTGCATTTCCCTTATGATTAGTGCTGTTGAGCATCATTTTAGACCCTATGTATTTTTTTAGTTGTTTTGAAATGTTGTTTTTTAAATTCCAGTTCGTATTCAACATAATTTTGTATTAGTGTCAGGTGTGCAGCATAGTGGTTAGATAATCATATACTTTACAAAGCGATTTCCTGATATTTACAGTATCCACCGGGCATCATACATAGTTATTACAATATTATTGACTACATTCCCTATGCTGTACTTTACATTCCTGTGACTACCAGTTGGTACTTACTTCTTAATCCTGTCAACTTTTTTACTCACCCCCAAACTCCCCTCTCCTCTGGTATCCATCAGTCTGTTCTCTGTATCTGTAATAGATGCTGTGTATTTTAAAGTAAGTTTTTATTATGCATAACACAAAATGGATACACCTCTCTTCATATCCTCTTCCAGTCACTATTCAGATTTTTACCACCACAAATGAGTTTTGCCTATTTTTGAACTTTATATAACAGGAAACACACTCTTCCATGTCTGTTTTTTTGTTTTTATTTTTTATTTTTTGCTTAATATTATGTCTGTAAAATTCATCCTGTTGTTTCATGTAGCAATAGTTCTCATTGCTTTATAATATTTCATTGTATGAATG